TCGCACCAAAGGACCTTAATTTTGTAGTGTTCAAAAATTAAAGAAGGGGGGCAGTGGATTCTGAAACAAAGGACCCTATCATACACCTGTCGTAATAAGGCGTAAGATGTGTTTGGTGCTGTTTAAAAAACAAATCCATTTGCACCATTTTGTAGACTCGTGGGTGTGCCAGTCTAGAAAAGAGGTGTGTTAAGGCGCATTGTTGGCACGTTGCTATTTTGAAGAACTAAAATAAACTGGGCCATTGACCAACTAAAAGCTGGTCCAGTGCAGAGCGTTTAAGTTGTGCTTCTTAAAAGCGTACACATTGTTTAATACACACAGGATGTACAGAAAGACACAAATATCTTTACAAACGAAAAAGAATTCAAGGATTAAAATGTTACAAAACTTATTACTTTCTATACGAATATAAAAACCTACTACCTCCATGCCTTTTCAGTTTATTCATGACAATTTGCATTTGTATAATGTTATTATTAACAGTGTTTTTTATTATATGCACATTTTTATTTGTTTTAATAAAAACAAGCTTAGATTAGTCCACCTGTCGGGTTTTGGAGACGAATGAATCACCATGTGGGGGATAGGAATAGGATATAACTGTGTTTGGAAATAACTATATAATTATTGTTCATTTATTAGTTTGCTGGAAATTAGAACTGAATTTAGAAATGATTTTAAACAAATCTTTGGACTTAACAAACTAAATCAAATATGTAGGCTAATGGATGTCTTCAGTGGAGTGCGTACAACACTGTTTCCTTACTCCACAAAAGTAAAGGAGTAAAGAGTAAAGTAAAGAGCCTAAATGTAGGAGGCTCATTCTTTATTCTCTCGCTGCAGATGGTCTGAATAGTTTTCTCGCTATTGAAGCATTCAGTTTTTTGACAAACTCTGCCATGTAAATAGCAAATGTAAAGTATTGTAGGCCTGAGGTATTTACAGTATTAATGATTAAAGATTTTAGGATTTTCTTTTTAATTTAGAAGAGCTGTAATTTATATGAACTATGCCTGAGACTGTCACACCATACACTCAAAAAAAATGTTTGCTGTTTGTTCAAACTACTTAAATACTATTGTTTCATGTTCAATCTAATAAGACTAATAAGTTAACTTAGTTTCTTTATGTTTTCCCAACACATATCTATTATGTGAAACCCAGCGTTTTTCTTTGTGTGTGTGTGTGTGTGTGTGTGTGTGTGTGTGTGTTCCTATGGTTTTAAGATTTGGCTCAAAAATGTAAAAAAAAAAAAAAATTAATAACAGCAGTTTTTATAAGAGGTCCATTTAAGACAATGAAATGTTTAACCATTTACTGCATTTTACATAATGTATAATAATTATAATATTCTAATACTATTCATTATTATTATTAATATTATTATTATTATTAATATTATAATTATTCATTATTTATTCGATATTCATTTTTGTCATGTGTGAAAATAAAAACGCAACACAAACAACATCCATATAGTCTTTCTATTACTAAAAAAGCCAATTAATTTTATAATATAATCATACAAAGTAAAAAAATGTTTTCTAAAAGGTTCTTTGAACAACCCAAAAGAGCATTGTTTTTAAATTGAAACGTCAAAACTTTCTGCATGACTGTCATGATTTTAATGGCCCATTGTCTCATTTTCAAGCAAAATAGTCTGCAGACATTTTCCTTTCAAAGCTCTTGTTGATTTCAAGCGCTTGAGAGATGCCGAAAGCTTGCTCGCGCTGACCTTTACACCGGAGCGGTGCTGTTTTTATGGGTGTTGGGAGTATCTAAAAGTGTGAAGAGCCGTGTGTGCTGGATGTTCATGTAAGAGGCAGCATTGTGTCGGTCTTTCTCCTCTGAAAACACAATAGAAAAGAATGGAGCATAATACAACGAGTGTGGAGTAGCCATCCAGCAATTTCCTGCTGTGTTGTGCCATTAGCTGTTCAAGTGCGAAAGACAATGTATGAAACAACAGGCTCGTGAGACAAAAACATTTCCGATCATTCTCAGAGATAAAATCGCATAAACACCACACACATCGTCTAGAATTTGCATAACTTACATAGTAAGCTTTTTAAATATTTCATCAAGCAAAAACAGAAACAAACATTAATTTGTTCTCTTTCTCCCTCTCTCTCTCTCTCTCTCTTTCTCTCTCTCACACACACATATACAAACGTGTGCACACACATACATACAAAGCTATCTTGACAAATACTTTAGTTTAACTCAAAATTCATGCTAACTGGCTTATTACCCATCTATTATTAAGCTATTAACTGTTTATTAGTTATATATGGTATATTTAATTTTAATTGTTAAAATGATCTTATTCTACATCTCTTATCCTGCCTAAAAGCTTAACCCAACTTCTACCTTACTATTAATAAGCAGCTATTTAGTAGTTTATTAAGCTATCAGTGTTAGTTTAATACCTTAAATTGTAACCTAAAGGGTAAAGAGCTATCTTTATAGGGACTTCCCACAGACATAATGATATTTATACTGTACAAACTGTACATTCTGTCCTCTATAGACCATTTTGAGGGATGTAAACAATAATAATGGTTTTTAACTATTTCCTACATTTATAATTTCCATAGCTCCTGAGAATCCTAAAAGGTCCACATATTGATACTTAACATTATGACAGCTGTTTTAGCATTAAGATATGATTGAATTGCCCCTTGCTACAGTTATTAAAATAGTTTGACAATGGGGCAATGGTATCACCTCATTGAAATGGTCTATACCACTAAACGCAATCGTCACAGGAATTTTGGAATCTGCATTTTTACATATTTTTAAATACTTTGTTTTGTGTGATTTATGAGCCATTTTCCTCATGTGGACCAAAATATCCCCAAAAAGGTCAAATGTACATATACAAAACACAAGATACACACATACACATGCAAAAATATTGAATAGATTATAATAAAAAATAATACGTGTTCATGTGGACCAAAATATATCCCCAAAAAGGTCCTAATTTACTTGTATTGATATACTAGTGCAGACATTTGGTCCCCACAACAAATATACAAGTATATACATACACACACATACAAAAATATTGTACGGTTATATGAGGAAATATGTTTTTGTTTCTGAAAATAATGTTGGCATAATTCGTATAAAAAACGTATATACTGTACAAGACACATGCAAAAAACTGTAAAAGATTTTTTTTTTCTGAAATAGTGTAGGCATGAAAAAAGTAATGTGGTATAGATTATAACTACATTCTGGTTTTTATCATAAATAAAAATGACTAATTTTTATAAATAAATCTCAATAAAACATTACAATAATAAGTTGCAGGCAAAATAAAACTATATTATCATGAAAAAATTGGGAATTGGGAAAAAAACGATAAGTTGTCATTTAAACAAAACATTCCCAAAAACATCAAAATATTCTGGTTTTGATATACTAGTCAGGACATTTGGTCCCCACAACGTACAAGACACATACACATGCAAAAATATTGCATAAGGAAATATACCCTTTTTCTCAAAATAATGTCGGCATGAAAACAGTAATATTGTATAGATTATGGATCCTACATTCTTAATAAATAAATAAAAAAAACATTAAGATGAGAAGTTGCAGTCAAAATATAACTATATTGTCATGAAAATATTGTCACAATTTGGAAAAATATTAAGTTTTAATGTAAAAAATATCCCCAAAAAGGTCCAAATGTACTGGTTTTGATATACCAGTGAGGACATTTTGTATGTGCACATATGCAGATGTGACATTTTGTCAAACACATATGCAAAAATAATGCTTAAGAAAATATGCCTTTTTCTTTTTAAATATTGTCAGCAGGAAAAAAGCTATTGTTTTGATGATTAACTAGATTATGGTTGTCATCATTAAAATGACTTATTTGAATAAAAAATCTCAATAAAACATGACAATTACAGTAATGAGAAGTTGCTGGCAAAATAAAACTATAAGGTCATGAAAATATTGTTAAAATTGTTTCCCAGTAATGGGTTGCAGCTGAAAGGACATTCACGGCGTAAAACATATATAAGACACACACACATGCAAAAATAATGCATAAGACAATATGCCCTTTTCCTAAAAATAATGTCTTGCATGAAAACAGTAATATTGTATAGATTATAGATTAACTAGATTTTGGTTTTCATCATAAAAAATATTAATTTAAATTAAAAATATTAATAAAAAAAACATTAAAATGAGAAGTTGCTGTCAAAATACAACCATATTGTCATGAAAATATTGTCACAATTGAGAAAAATTGTTTTAATGTGGACCAAAAAATATCCCCTAAAAGGTCAAAATGTACTGGTTTTGATATACTAGTGAGAACATTTGGTCCCCACAATGTAAATACAAGGTATGCACACATGCAAAATATATGCATAAGAAAATATGCCCTTATTCTGAATATAATGAAGGCATGAAAAAGTAAAATTGTAGAGATTATATATTAACTAGATTCTGGTTTTCATCATCAATAAAATTATAAATTTGATTAAGAATTCTTAATAAAACTTAAAAAAACATTAAAATAATGAGAAGTTGCAGATAAAATATAACTAAATTATCATGAAAATATCTAAAATAGTGATACATTTCCATGTGCAAATTATGTATTATTAAATATTCATCAAAGGCGGCAAACCCAACATTTTGGTGTTGCCGCCTTTAATTAATATTTTGTACAGTTTTTTAAATGATGTATTATGACTATAGTTTAAAACAAGCCAACCAAAATGTTATACTAGTACATCAGGCTAACTAAATGAACATGAGTAATATACTCTTTCCAACTAAACAGGTAGCAGAAAATAAAATAACCTTTTACACATTGTAATTGATTTAAATATATGTAGCTAAACCATCATTTACTGTTATAATTTTATGATTTCAGTTAACTATAATAACCTTGTTTTTAAGCCAGTTGCACCCATAAGCATGCAATACTGTCCTTCAAGCATTACACTGTGTATATTTGAAAAACTTGCTGCTAATGTGAGACAGAAAATGTGACATCTGCACAGTAAACCTTCTGGATATTTCTGCATTGTGTTGTGTGGGCTTCCTGTCAACAGGTTCCTGTCTCTGGCCTCGTCCCGTCTCTCCAGCATTTGCTGAAACGTCTCCTGGCAACAGTGTGTTTCCTGGTCTCTGGATTCTCTATTCATTTTCATGCTGTCCAGAAATTGGCAGATGTTAACAAACAGAGCGGCGTCCTGCGAGCAAAAACCTCTTTGTGGTCTTTGGTTGTGTTACTTGAGCTCGGAACTTGTAGCTTATTAATCTGCCGTTGTTTGGGAGTTGTCAGCGAGAGGCGACGGGCGCGCATGCCAAAAGTGAGCGTCTGTTTCTGCTTCTTGTCACAAATGAACCACACACGCTCTCTTGCATGTGGTGAGAATGAATGCTAGTTTATTTTATCCGCTTCCTCTGCATGTCCATGATTTACTTGAAAGCCATTTGCTTTTGTTCATTCTGTGTTTCCTTAAGCCGGCTAAACACGGTGTTTGGGTTATGTAGTGCACGTTTATTTGAATGGATAGTTCTCTCGGAAATGGGAGTTCTGAGATCTTTTACACACTCGTTAATGTTGGTCACTGCTGTCTTTGGTTTCCATTTCCGTTAGCAGTTCAAGATTTTTTTTTTCTGCCAGTTGTCTCTTTGGGGTCTAATATTTTTGACTGCAACTTTTAGACTGCAAATATTAATATAATATAATATAATATAATATAATATAATATAATATAATATAATATAATATAATATAATATAATATAATATAATATAAACTTAAAAAATGCTGCAATGTATTAACTTACTTGTCAGATTGCTCGAGAACTACACATCTGTCATTATATGAAAAACAACTCCCAGAAGCCTTTGCACTCACACACCAGTTCCTGATCTCCCCTGATTACACACACAGCTGGAAGTTCATGTTGGACTATAAATGCATCACACACACAGACTTTGCTGAGTCTTGTTATTTTTAAGAGAGCATTTCAAAGCGTTTCCTTGTTTATTGTTTGATGTTGTTTTGCCGCCTGTCCTGACCATTCGCCTGTTTTTCTGACTACACTTTGGATTACCTGTATGCTTCAGGCCTACTTGACTATTTTGTTTAATAAAGCTGCAACTGGATCCTCACCACTGTTATCCCCAGCTCATTACACTACTGTTGAGTCAACCATGCCAAGGCAGAGATTGATGCACACTCTGACAGTTCACACTCTAAAATATTACAAAAAATAGTAGTTTCTAGCTTACATAAATATAAAAACCATACTTTCATGTAGGGCTGGGCGATTTTTCAGATTTTTTTCGTTTTTTTTCGATTTTTTAAGACGATTTAATTTTGAATCAAATCGAGAAATCGCGATTTTTAAAAAATATATATATTTAATACATTATAATGGCACCAATGCGCTTTGGTTCACTCTCTGTATGAAGCAGGAAGCACACCAGAAGCGCCTCTCGGCGCCGCGCCGCATAGCACCACGCCATGGATTTTAGAATTCTAAACAGGTTTCTAGACACACACCGACGCCGCCCAGCCACGATTCACGAAGCAGTTCTCATTTCAGCCTTGCCAAAGAGCACCATCTGATTAGTTTCATGTTAAATATCATGCGAATGTGCGCGTTTGGTGTGTGATAGTTTAAACTGTCATGTCCGCGCCGTGTCGACCTGCTTGACTGCCTGTTAAAATGTGTTAAGTCATGTAGGATTTTTCTTGTTGCACGTCTGTGTGGATTGTCAATACATTCCCTCATCAAGTCGATAAACTCGATCTCAACATGTATGAAGGACGTAAAAGCCTGCCATGTGAAAAACCGTGACGATCTTTTGGTTTGAAGACGAGTAGAGGTGAGGGACTCACTGTAACATTGAAAATGAAAGTACCCGCCCCATGACGTCATTTAGCGGGCCTAGTTGAAAACCAGACAGATCAGGCAGCATAATACAGAGAGTGGAGCAAAGCGCATCAAATGATCGGTATTTAAAAGGAGGAAAAAAGAAAAATAGATTTAATATATTATTTTATATTAGAAACACATCTGGTGCTTGTATTTGCTCCTGCTATACGTCCACAACTTCACACATTGGGTTAAATTAGGCTTTACAGTTTCTATGTTCAGTCCTTTTTCTTCCACTGTATCTTTTTAAGAAAAAGGCAGCACTTTACAACCTGACATTCAATCAGAAGAAGACAAAGTCAAAGCCGAGCTGACAGCCAATCTTTCCTAGACTCAGCAAAACTTGCAAAAAATACCTCTGTATTTCTGCAACTGCAATATTTACACAAATATTTCTTATTCAAATCTTCAGCAATGCTATTTAACTCGTGAATTTGTTTTACATTTATTTACATCTTGACCGATTTTTGTATGACATGGCCATTAAAAATACAAAGTTCCTGAACCAGATGGTTTTTCAAGTTACTTTTAAATAGAGTGTTACTTCAGTCATGTTGTTGTAATGTTTTGAGAAGACTAGTAACACAATAAAAAAAAATAAAAAATCGGAATCGAAATCGTCAATCGGTCAAACTTTATAAAAAACCTAGATTTTTTTTTTTTTGCTAAATCGCCCAGCCCTACTTTCATGCCTTCTTCATCTTGGGAGGCTTTTTTTAGTTTATTCATGACAGCTTGCTTTTGTATAATTGTATTATTATTCGCAGCATTATTTATTACATGCATATTTATATTTGTTTTATGAATAACAAGCTTAGATTTGTCCACCTGTCAGGTTTTATACCATATGGGGCATAGCATGTATATTTGGATATAAGTGTGTTTTTTGAACACACTTTGTTAATATTGTTAATTTATCCTTTTGCTAAAAAGTAGAACTGAATTTAGAAATAGTTTTGAAACAACTCTTAACAAATGAAATTATTATTATTATTATTTATAGGCTAATGGATGCGTACAACACGTCTCCCTATCCACGAGAGTGAAAGCGAAAGTAAAGGATAAGGAGGCTCATTCTCTAATTCTTGCCTGTAGATGCTCTGTTTAACTGTTTTCTCTCTACTGAAATGCTCAGTTTTTCTACTTAATAGCAAATGTGCTATGGCACGACGCAGCTGACTCCTAAAGGGAATGGGAGATGAGACTCTGATTGGTTCATTCTCAAAACACACCCATAACTCATTAAGAGAATAAGCTCAACCCTGTTAGACCATGCACCTCGGCGCAAAGCAGATTTTTCTGTCCCTAAAATAGCAAAAGTGTATTCTGACACGCACTTAATGCTTTTGTGCCCTGCGCTTTGAACTTTGCGCCTGGATCGTAAAAATATAGCCCTTAATGTTTAATAAGAACAAAAACATTCGACATGAAAAGAGAGACATATGAAAGAGCTGTGGTGTGCGAGGACCATGATTGAGAATTGCTTGAATAGAGTGACATCTTATTATTTTCATCCTATTTGTAATCAGATTTTTTTTTTTTACCAGGACATCCAGCAGCTGGAGCACCTACACTACTGACAGTTTACAAACCTTCAGCACTGAAATTGCTGGGAGTGAGAGCTGGGCTTCAGCTGGCAGCTGAACAATTTGTTTAGTGAACTGGAATACCAGAGCTTGGCACCATATGTTCACCCAGAACAATAAGCCTGTGCGACAGTTATCTGCGTCTGTATTTAGAAGTCGTCCAGTGATCGGACCAATTTCCTGAGAGCAGTTTAGACTGTGATTTGTCCTTGCTTGTTTAATCCTTCTCTTTCTATTTATCTCTTACTTTTAGTTGTTGTTTTTTTACATCCACCTGATGTTAAATAGGGTCGCCTGACTTTGACTTGATTAGATCCCAGCCTGGAGAGGGAATGGCCCTCTGATAAACAATTTTGCCTGAAAACGAACGTGTAGCAATTCAATTACCATTCAATCAGCGAACGCTTGAGGCCTTTAATGATTTTAGCACACAATCAAATCCTTGCTTTCTTAAAGAGGCCTCTGAGCTTTTTTGTGCAATTGTAGAAGAATATGAAACATCCCAAAGTCATCAATACATCACTTCATGTTGAAAGGACCGTCCAAAAGAGTGAAAATTGGCCGTTTTTAATCTCCTGAATGGCAATTGTTTCATAATTTGCTATCAGCTACAAAGCACAAAAAGCTGTGTGTGAGTGATAAAGGAAACAAAAGTGAAGACAAACAACACCAAAAAAAAACATTTATTCTTAATATCAGCCCTTCATGCTCACATATGAATCACAGAATGTGGCTATAAGCTTAAAATAGCATTGATTTTTCAGTATTAGATCCAAAAGAAACAACGATAAGCTCTAAAAAGTTGACTAAATGTGACACAATTTAATCTCTTATCGTCTGAAATCATAAGTGTGTAATTCAAGTGTTTTTTGATGAGTCTGTCAAGAATAAAAGAACACCAGGCTCTGAAATGGTACTGCAGGAATTTCAATGTCACCAATCCAGCGCGAGAGAGAGTGAAGAAAAGACCGAATTTACTCACCCAAAGGAAAATTGTATTGCTCAGAGGTGGTTTGTTCACAGCTCACAAGACTTGAGGGAGTAGCTCACCTCAATATGAGAAGCGTTTACCCTCATGCTGCTCCAAATCTGTATGATTTTCTTTTATCTGCAGAGCACAGACGGTGACTTTTTGAACAATACACTGGAAGCTGTTTTCCAATAGTCCAGTGCTTTTAAAATGGGCTTTAAAACCCGCACGAGCTACAAAAACTGCTATTTGACACTTTCCACTGATTTTTGGGTTTCATAATCAAACATTCACATGGTTTTCACTATATTTGAATCGAAAGCTCCAGCAGTAAAAGAAAATTAAAGCCTCGTTCAGACCATAATGATGAAAAAGGTCCTCCATTTAAAATGTAATACTCATTTTTTTTTCTGTAGTGAAATTGATTTTTAACAATAATACAGACCTATTGTGAGCTCTGAGGTTGATATATAATATTGTTTGTTGTATCTCGTTTCATAATATATTTACATTATACAACATAGTATAATTCTTCCTATCAGGAAGAGAGAACTTATTGTAAATACACAAAAAGCAAGGCAAGGCAAGTTTATTTATAAAGCACATTTCATACACAATGGCAATTCAAAGTGCTTTACATAAACCGGAATAAAAGAGACATGTATAAATAAATAAAAATAAACAATGTAAAAATGGCATAAAGAAAGAAAACAGTGTAAAAACAGTTTTTCCATTTTCCAAAAGTGTATCACATTTTCTCATTTTACTCTGGGACTTCCCCACTCTGGTGATCACCCCTCCCCCAACTCCCCTCTGACTTTTTCGCTACCTATTAATCTATTGTATGCCCCCAACAGATACAATTTTTCATCTGAAATCATAACTTAAGCTTTACAGCTTTAAGTACGTGGCCCCAGTTTCAACTTCTTTCTGAAAGTAAATCGCACAGCCCCTGATTTTATCCCCTCCCGGGAGTAGCTCACTTTAGCTAAAAAAACGTAACAAAAGGTCTTGATTTTAGCCAGACAAAGGGACCCCCCCCCCCCACGCGCCCCTGGCAACAGATTATGTGTGGCGAGTCACGTCTCGGATCTCACTTATTATAATTAATAATAAAAATTTTGGAAAAAAAAAACACTGCTATCCCAAAGAGACAGATCGACTAGTATGGTCTTGGCCCAAGTGAAATCTTTTAACTGCTCAATCAAATACAGTTTTTCCATATTCCAAAACACCGGTGTATCATATTTTCTCCCTTTACTCTGGCACTTCCTCATTCTGGTGACCATCCCCCCACCCCACCTTTGTGGACTTTTTCGTTATTTATTAATCTATTGGAAGTCTCCAACAGATTCGGTTTTTCACCTCAGATCGAAAAGTTAAGCTTTACAGCTCTAATTGCGTGCCCCCAAATTCAACTTCCTTCTGAAAGTAAATCGCACAGCCCCTGATTTTACCCCCTCCCGGGAGTAAATCGATTTAGCTATCCAAACGTGATAAAAGGTCTTGAGCTTAATAAAGTGTGAATGCTAATATGTGACCCTTGACACATGGGTGAAAATTGTCCATTTATTTATGTCAAAAATCATTAGATTATTAAGTATTTAGCCACAGCCAAATCATCCTGCAGCCCAAGACTGGTTACTCACTGAAGCTAAGCAGGGCTGAGCCTGGTCAGTACCATGATAGGAAACCACATGGGAAAATTAGGTTGCTGTTGGAAGTGGTGTTAGTGAGGCCAGCAGAGGGTGCTCAGCCTGTGGTCTGTGTGAGTCCTAATGCTGCAGTAAAGTGAAGGGGACACTATACTGTCAGTGAGCACCGTCTTTCGGATAAGACTTTAAACTGAGGTCCTGACTATCTGTAGACATTAAAAATTCCATTGCACTTCTTGTATAGAGTAGTGGTGTAACCCTGGTTATCTGGCCAAATTCCTTCCATCTGCCCTTACCCATTATGGCCTCCCAATTATTCCCAATTAGCTCTATCACTGTCTCTTAACCTCCTCTATAGCTGGTGTGTGTTCTGCGCACTGGCGCCATTGTCCTGTGGCTGCCGTCATCCAAGTGGATGCTGCACACTGATGGTGGTGTGGAGAGACCCCTTTTATGATTGTGTAGCGCTTTAGGTGCATGATCATACACAATAAATGTGCTATATAAATACACATTAGATTACATTAAGTAAAAGTCACCATCAATTGAGATATTTAGTAAATTGCCTGCAGTAAATACATCATTTGCAAGCACTTCATTTAAATAATTTAAAGGCAATTCTCTCAGTATTTGGATTTTTTTTACATTTTCAGATTTTGGATTTCAAGTAGTAGTATTTTGGTCAAATATCAACAAAGGCTTTTACCTTTAGCTTTCAGGTGAGGTAAAAATATCAGTCAGGTTTTGTGGTGCTGAATCATACTTTCATTATGTACAGTTAATGTAGATTTAAATAACATGAACATCAGTACATAGTAACAGAATAGGCTTCTTTTTCTCTTGATTTGACTTAAATTATGTCTTAAAGTGCTATATGGAGAACTTCCTTCTTCCCATTTATGGGTTTGTGATTATTATATCTCTGTTGTGATGAGTCAGAAGGCATTGAATCCATTTGCAAGCTTTATTAAGAGCACACATACAAACAAACACTAAGGGGCAATCCAGGAGACAGAACGTGGGACAGGCAAAAGTTCAAAGGCAGGCAGATATCTTACTGGTCAGAATAACAGGCTGGAGATCCGGGGCAGGCAGATGTCTTTCGTAATCGTAGAACAAGCACAGGGTCAGAAACACAGATCAGTCCGAAGCAGGGAGTATGGAACGCTCAGAAATGACAGCCAGGCAAATCAAGACTTCGCAACGAACCGGAGCGTGAGTGCGGTATATATACACGAGAGCTGATGAGTTGCACCTGGACCGTAATCAGTGCCAGGTAGCAGGGCTTATGGGATTTTGAGTCCGTGAGTCGAATCAGAATTCTGGCGATGGTTCCCTCTGGTGGTGCACAAGAGGGTTGGCATCGCCCTCATTTACAACAGAACCCCCCTCCTGCGAGCGGCTCCTGAAGCGAGAAGGCACCTGACGCCGGGGTCTACCGCGCTGTCGGGGGGCTGGTTTCTCTGGGAACCTTTGATGAAACTCTTCCGTGAGAGTTGGGTCTAGAATATCTCTAGCATTCACCCAGGACCGTTCCTCTGGACCGTACCCTTCCCAGTCCACCAGATATTGGAGGGCGCCACCCCGACGTCGAGAGTCCAGCACTTCTCGAACGAGGTAAGCTTCCTCGCCCTCGATCATGACAGGTGGAGGGGTCCTGGTTTCCGATTCCTCCTCAACCGTCTCCTCTCGTGGACCACCAGCTGGTTTGAGTAATGACATGTGGAAAGTAGGAGAAATACGATAATGATTAGGCAAGGCTAAGCGAAAAGACACTGGAGTAATCTGGCGTACAATTTTGAATGGCCCTACATACCTGGGACTGAGTTTGCGGCAGGGCAATCTCAGACGAAGGTCTCGTGTCGACAACCACACCCACTGCCCCGGTTGATACGTGGGTCCCTGGCGTCGGTGACGGTTCGCCTGAATCTCTCTCCTCCTGAATGCCCTCATGAGATGTCTGTGAGCCTGGTTCCAGACATCCTCACTCCGCTGCAGCCAATCCGTGACAGCAGGTAACTCAGTGGGTTCTCCGGACCATGGAAACAGGGGTGGTTGGTAGCCAAGAATACATTTGAATGGCGTAATACCCGTGGCTGGCTTTATTAATGAATTTTGTGCATATTCTGCCCACATCAGATAGCGACTCCAGTCGTGCTGTTGCTGATGACAGTAGGAACGTAGAAATCGAATGACTTCTTGATTCATACGTTCAGTTTGGCCGTTGGATTGAGGATGGTACCCTGAGGTGAGACTAACATTAATATTTAGATTTTTACAGAGAGCGGACCATACCCGGGAAGTGAATTGGGATCCCCTGTCTGAGACGATATCATCAGGTAAGCCAAACATTCGAAATACATGATTGCACAGGGCTTCTGCGGTTTCAAAGGCAGAGGGCAATTTGGGCAACGGTATTAGGCGACAAGCCTTGGAGAAACGATCAACCACCGTGAGAATGACTGTGTTGTTCTGGGAAACAGGGAGATCCGTAATGAAGTCCACCGCTATATGGGACCAGGGCCGTTGCGGAACCGGTAGCGGTTGTAACAGGCCAGCAGGGGTTTGGTGAGATGCCTTCGTGCTTTGGCAAATTTTACATTTCTGAACATAATTAATTACATCCTTCGTGAGGGACGGCCACCAGAAACGGGCTTTGACTAACTCCAAAGTTGCAGTGATGCCTGGATGCCCCGAACTGGGAGTGTCATGAATATGGGTCAGTAATCTGGTACGTATGTTATTGGGTACAAAAATCAGGTGATTCGGACAGTCTACTGGAGGGTTGTTTTCTCGGTTGGCCTCTTGGATCTCGGTAAGTATGTCCCACTGTACTGGAGCCACTAGTAAGTTCGTAGGAATAATGGTTTCATCACTAATTGGGGTTTTATCCTCTGATAGCCTGGATAGTGCATCTGCCTTACTATTTTTACTCCCTGGTCTATAGGTGACAATGAAGTCGAATCTGGTGAAGAACAAAGCCCAACGAGCTTGTCTGGGATTTAGACGTTTGGCTGAGCGAAGATATTCCAGATTCTTGTGGTCCGTTAATATGGTGAATTGCTGACTAGCCCCCTCCAGCCAGTGTCTCCATTCTTCCAGGGCTAATTTCATTGCCAGTAATTCGCGATTTCCCACATCATAGTTTCGTTCTGCGCTGGTCAATTTACGGGAGAAGAAGGCACATGGATACATTTTGGATGGTTGACCCTGACGTTGAGATAACACAGCACCGACTCCTGTGTTGGATGCATCCACTTCCACAATGAAAGGTAGGTCTGGGTTGGGATGACGGAGAATAGGAGCTGTGGTGAATTGAGTCTTCAGATCGCTAAATGCTTGGCGTGCTTCAGAGGACCAGGATAGTTTGTGGGAATTTCGTTTGGTCATGGCTGTTAATGGTGCGGCTATTGAACTAAAGCCTCTGATAAACCGTCTATAGAAGTTGGCAAAACCTAGAAATAGCTGCAACTCCTTGAGATTCTGGGGTAACGGCCATCGTTGAACTGCCTGTACCTTCGTATCATCCATGGTAATCCCTTCTGCACTGATGACGTATCCCAAAAAGGCGATCTGTGTCTGGTGAAATTCACACTTCTCTAATTTGGCGTACAGACGATGTTGAATCATGCGTTGCAACACTATACGTACATGTTCAACATGTTCCTTCATCGTGTTTGAATATATGAGGATGTCGTCGATGTAAATGATGACCCAGCGATCCAGCATATCCCGAAAGACATCGTTCATAAAAGATTGGAACACGGATGGACAGTTTGACAGGCCGAAGGGCATTACCGTGTACT